AGGAATGCCTCTGTGAAAACATATTTGTGAAGCGGGGTTATAAAAGAACTGCGTCACACAACAACTGGCAGAGAGAGAGAGGAGAGAGGGCAGTGAAGAAAGGGGGGAGGATGTGCTCCAGGCACCGGAGCATATTCCCCTGGGTTGTGGTGAAGACCCTGGTGAGGCAGGCTGTCCCCCTGCAGCCCATGGAGGTGATGGGGTGTAGATGTCCACCTGTGGTCCATAGAGGACCCCACACGAGAGTGGGTGGATGCCTGGAGGGGGCTGTAACCCTGTAAGAAGCCCATGTTGGAGGAGGCTCCTGCCAGAGCCTGTAGCCTGTGGAGAGAGAGAAGCTCACATCGGAGCAGGATGGCTGGCAGGACTTCTGCGATGCCACGGGGTACTCAGGCTGGAGCAGTTTCCCCTGAAGGACTGCACCTCATAAAGAGAGATGTACACTGGGGCAGTTTGTCAAGAACTGTCTCTTGTGAGAGGACTCATGTTGGAGAAAGTGTGTGAAGATTGTCTCCCATGAGAGGGACCCCACAATGGCTCAGAAGAGTGAGGAGTCCTCCGCCAGAGGAAGAAGGAGCGGTGGAGACAACATTGAATGAACTGACCACAGCCCCCATTCCCTGTGCCCCCGTGCTTCTCAGAGGGAGGAGGTGGATAAATTAAGATTGATGTTAAGCCTGGGAAGAGGGGAGGGGTGGGGGGAAGAGGTTATTTTTAAGATCTACTATTATTTCTCATTACTCTTCTCTGATTTTGATTGTTAAATAAATGTAACTATTTTCCCCCAAATCAAGTCTATTTCACCTGGAACAGTAGCTGCAGGTGATCTTGCTGCCCTTATCTCAAACTGTGGGCCCTTCATTATATTTTCTCCCTCATCTAGCTGAGAAGGGGGAGTGATAGAGCAGCTGTGGTGGGCACCTGGCCACCAGACAGGGTCAGACCACTACAATCCCACAGTTCACTGGAGTGCTAAGTTACAGAGTGGTTCAAGTTGCTCAGCACTACTACATCTTCTGCTGACTGTTTCTTACTATTGGAAAAAGCTGTGAACTGCCATTCCCTTCTTCAGACTCACCAGGGAGAGGAGGAAAGATGATGCAGATGAAAGATTTGAGACCCAAAGAGGAACTGTGGGATTAACTCTACTAGTTTTCCCATGATAAGGAACGCAGTGCATGGGTAGGTTCTAGTCACGCTTTAGCAAACAGTGGTTTTCCAGAGAGCTTCTAAGTGTGGGGTGGGCTGGGCTGCTCCTTGGGATCATGTCATCTGGTAAGAACCGAGAAGCATATCAAAATGGTCACAATTGCAGTCATTCAAATTAAAACTGCAGTGAAGATCTAACAAAGTGCAGGCACTACTTCCACTGGGTAAATACATAACAGAGGAAGTGGCACACAGGAATATTCGATTCTTGTATGAAGCTTTTGTTTAAGAAAATGTTGAATGTGTCAATGATGACAGGGGCATTGAATAGCTCCCACTGCTGTGAAACAGTTGAAATCTCTGATGATGACAACTAGTAGCCCTAAACTGTTGAAGTATGGAGCACATCAGCACTAAAACACATTTTCTCCATAAAGAAGGTTTGTTCATTGAAGTTCCTTGCAATCAACTTTTGCATGAAGCATTTATTCCCAAGGCCAGCTATTGTTAACGTATTAACACGAAAATTGTTTTATTGTCTGTGAAAGCATCAGGTGTCAAATTTCCTCATTTACCCTTTTCTACCAGTACAGAAATCACTGCATATAAAAATGTCATTTACTCAAAATAATAATAGCACTAAGCGTGGAATAACGGCAAATAAGTAAAAAGAACTAAAAAAAGACTTCTTTAAAAAAATACAGACAAAACGAACCTCTACCATTTTACCAATATTTAAGGACATCTATGTTTAGGGCTGCATAGTGTTTCAGAAAAAATCGGTGTCTGCTGAGCATGCAAATGGCTTTACAGGCACCACAGTTAGTGCTGTGAGAAACTGATAGTCACATTTTGATTTTATAAATGTTTCTTGCTATCAGTTACATATTACAAATTGAACAGTTAAATTAGAGAGCAGCAGGATGTATCTATTTATCCGAAAGAGGTCACTATTCTAAATCTGTAGTTAACAGAATGGTTAAAAGGAAAGCGTGTACTAAATGAAAAGAAAGCAGCAATAAAAAAGCAGATCTGAATTCATCTGGAATAAATTCATCTGGAAACAGTTATAATGAAAAGCAGTCTCAGTCCTAGGACATTCAAGCAAGCCAGCTAATTAGCCCTGGAAAGACAGGGCAAAAATACTACTTAAAAAGGAAGTGCAGTAATGAAACTTAAAGGCAATATAAACTGAATCTCCCAGCATCAACAAGATGAGAATTCATTTTGCCCGTGATACTCTCCACAGCTCCTGGAAGTGCCTGCTGCTGGCAATGAATGAAATAAAAGGGGAGGAGGGAGAACAGAGAGAAAGAGGTGTTATCTTACCAGCCGGCGCAGCTTATAGCTCCACTCCCTTCATGACGCTGGGAATTCACAAGCCTATAAAATGTGCCTTGGCAAAACCAAAAGCAAGAAGTGGCTGTACAGAGGACTAATGGGATGCTATTCTACCCAGAGGTAGCTCTCCTGACTCAGCTGGTACAGCATTTCTAACAGCTTGAACAGCAAAGCCAAAGCTTTTCCTGAGAGATCACTTCTTCCCAGCACCTCCTGTGCTATCTTACTTCCTTTTTTCTTTGTTTCCTCTTCTTATCTGTTGGTGGGGATTTTGGAGGGTTGGGAGAGGGAGGTGGGAGAAGCATATCATTCCTGGAAGAGAGGAGAGGAGCATCCAAGATGACTTCTGTCCCCACAGCCAGCTGGAACGTGAGCATGAGCAGGAGGTGGAACATGAGTCTTGCTGCAGCAGGTGATCCCTGGGGACAGGCGCTGGGGGTGCCAGCTGGAAATGCTTCTCCCCCTGTAGCATCCTCAGCAGCCAACTTCTCCAATCAGTTTGTGCAACCCTCTTGGCGCATTGCCCTGTGGTCTCTGGCTTATGGTGGTGTGGTGGCAGTTGCCGTTTTTGGAAATCTCATTGTCATCTGGATTATCCTGGCTCACAAGCGCATGAGGACAGTGACCAATTACTTCCTGGTGAACTTGGCCTTCTCCGATGCCTCCATGGCTGCCTTCAATACTCTCATCAACTTCATCTACGCGCTGCACAGCGAGTGGTACTTTGGAGAGGCTTACTGCCGCTTCCACAACTTCTTCCCAATCACAGCTGTCTTCGCCAGCATCTACTCCATGACAGCGATAGCGGTGGACAGGTGAGATAAAAGAGGAAAAGTTTAGGGGTGAGAGACTGAGTTCAGATTCTCTGATGAAATAAAAAGACAGAGATAACAATCATGAAGTGATGAGAGGCAGAGCCCTCAATAGTTCATCGACTGTGCTCCGCCATACTTCTTTAAAATCTCTCCCTAACACACTGTTTTTCTCCCTGTCTTTGCTTTTTCCTTCAGCCTTTCATTGGTTTTACTCTCTTGGTTTCTTTTAAAAAACCAGTTCCTCTCTCTCTTTGACTTCAGCTGCTCTCTGTGTTCCATCTTTTAATACTAATTCTCTAACAGCAGCCATTGCCCAAGGTTTTGCTTTCCCACCCGTGAAAATACTATCTGTCCCTCAGTCGATGTCATCTAATTCATACTGATAAGGAGTTGTAGAGATGGTGTGTAAAGGGAGAGGATTTCAAATTTCCCTCCTCTTTATATTCCTGCAGCTGGCAGAGGCATTTGCCTCATCCTCAGAAATCACTTTTCACTCTGTTTTTGATAGCTCTACTCACGGACAGCTCTGAGCTGCTTGGTTCCTCCTGATTTTAACTAATGAGATTATTTACATTGCCATCTGTGCATATCCAGAGGTCTGGAAAGAATGTGGTTTCAAAGTGCTTGATCTTTTTCCTGATTTCTTGCAGCAGAACAAGCCTTTGTGACTGAAAGAAAACAAGACAGGAAAAAACTTTATCTTTGTGTACTTGACAATAATGGAATAGTACAGCCGTAGTCTCCATATAGTAAAGGGCAGATGTAGTTGTCAGATTTCCAGCAGAGATGCTTTGATGGACCATCTTTCTCAGAAGGTGCTGTGAGTGTCCCCTAGGAAATGTTTCTTTCTTTATGATCATTTTTCAAATGTGCTGTACTGGAGAGATAACTTACCCCATGCTATAGAAATCCAGTAAATTCCCAAATTTTCATTCAGAAAAACAGATCTCTCTGTACTTCAGACCTCTTATTCCTTTTAGCAATGCACTGAACTTACTCACAAAATTCCTTTTTCCATATTCAAATCACATTATGCATCTTGCCTGAACTGACTCGGCAGAACTTTCCCAGTGATGGTAGTTAAGATTTTACAAGGTTCAATCCATCCTCTGAAATGTTATTTCTCATTACCAGGTGCAGAGATTGGGAAATACAGTGTACCTTTTGCCTGTATTGTGGACAATTTCATAATGCTGCTTTTCTGTTTGCCCTACTAACGGCAAATTTTAGGTGGCATTTTCAGTCAGACTAATTTCTGTTCTGTAAAGCTGAAAATGAAAGAGAAAATGAGATTCTTAGCAACTCTCCTGCCTCTCTGCTCTGGGGATGGGTGAAGACAGAAGGAAATCCGTACACTTTCCTCCTGCCAGTGATGTATATTGTTCCCAACTGTTAGTTCCCATTAATAATGGAGTGTAAAGCCACTGATACTATCTTCAACCAGGCAAAGATTTCTTCCATTGTCATTTTGGGTTTAACCTAAGATTCTTATCTAGCCTGAGGTTTTCAGAATGATAAAAGGTTTTTAGATGATGCTGAGGATTTAACTGTATTGCTGCAGCTGATCAATCATTAGCCGAGCAGTTACTAGGATGTTCTAAGGGGTTTTTTTTCCTGACAAAAGCATTCACAGTCATATAGCACTTATTAACTTGGAAGTTCCTAAATTTATGCTAGGAAACTGGAAATTAAGATGAATACAGCTCCTTGTGAATCTGAAGGGTGCATTCCAGACTGAGTAAAGAATAGCTCTGCTCCACACTGACTGAAGTGCAATGAGTGGTCAGATACAAATATATTGAAAACGTTTTCCTTGGCTTAGCAATGTGAAACACTAGTGCTCAGAAGCGAGTCAGTCACTGCTGTTTATTCACTTTGATCTAGTTCTTGTCTGCAAATCCCCTGAAGAAACCACAATTTCCATCCCATCACATATTCCAAGTTCACCTGGCCCCAAAAGACAAATTAAAATCTTCACTTAGGAGGAGTACAGTGAATAGTGCCAAAGCTGACTTTAGGTGAGCTCACTGCAATAGCAAGGAACATCATGTAAGGCAAACAGAAAGACAGTTTATGCCTCCTTCCCTTTTCCCACCGCCATGCCTTATCCTTTTATACCAAATCACATCTGATGCATTCAGTACATTTAACCATTTCCTGGCTACCTCTGCAGAACTCTTCTGCAGAGTCAAGAGGAAAACTAGGGGTCAAAGGGAATCTCAAAGAATGTCCTTGGATGTAGACTCCCCTATTCCAGGGCACAGATCTGCTGGCTGGGCATTCTTAAAACTTTGGTTCTCAATTGCTTTCTATAAAAGTTCAGCCAGTACTTCAGACAAGACATTCTGCTTTAGTTTTGACCCAGTAAACTCATCTTTACACATTCATGTTAATTTATCTTTTAGAAAAAAAAAAACCCACAACCAAAACTATAAACTAGGATGAAGCTGCTGAAGGAACTGAAATGATGAGATCATACCAGATTATTTTCCAGTAGAAATTATTAACAACCCAAAAATACTGAAAAGTCATGGGTGGCAACTCACTAAAAAGTATGTCCTAATATCCTCCATTAATCATTTTAGAACATCCAAAAGTTCACAGAGAAGGAATGAGTCACTGTGATTATAGATATCTCTAAGCAGAGGTCATGTGCAGTACATGTTTCCTTTCACATCTGATTCTGTAGGCTGTGTTGTCTAAGTTATGTGCACTGTGAAATTACCGGACTATGTGGAGTAGGCAGTTCCTGCAAGTGGAGTGTGCTGCGCCTTGAGCTGAGAATGAAAGCATCCCAGACTGCGGTATGACCACCTCGTCGCTGAAGATAGACTCAAATTTATGTAGGTTTATTCACACTTCTGACCACCTCTTCCTGGTGGTCTTTTTCCCCCACCTGCTGCTTCATTTCCAACAGGATGTTTGGAGTCCATTGCAGAGATACCACAGGTAGCTTTACCCAAGACAGCCTAAGTATCAGAAGCAACACAGATCTTACACTGGCATTCATTGATCTGCTCTTCTGTAGCTCATGCTGCACAGTACAACAGTTAACATTGCTTCCAGTGCAGTAGTTCCTTTAGCTATCTTATGGAAATAAGCTTTTACAATAGCCTAAGATAAACTGAACAGGGTATAGCTCTGGAGCACATAGGCCCTTGCCTCTGGCCAGTGAACGCTCACAGAATCATAGAATGGCCTACGTTGGAAGGGACCTTATAGATCACTTAATCCAGCCTCCCTGCCATGGGCAGGGACGCCTCTCAACTAGATCAGGCTACTCAAGGCCTCATCCAACCTGGCCTTGCACACCTCAAGGGAGAGGGCATCCAGCTTCTCCGGACAACTTATTCCAGAGTCTTGCCACCCTCGTATTGAAGAATTTTCCCCTGAGATCCAATCTAAATCTATTTTCCTTTAACTTAAACCCATTTCCCCTTGTCCTATCAGTGGACACTCTTGTAAAAAGTCCCTCCCCAGCCTTCCTGTAAGTTCCCTTCAGGTACTGGAAGGCAGCTATAAGATCGCAGAGGGCCGTATATATTAACTCCATCTGTGACTGCTGGCTGTGGTATAGTTCCTGGACATATAAAAGACAGTAATTTAGGCAGAATTTAAGCCATTTGGCCCTGTCCTTACTAGTTCTTAGCGTGCATGAGGTGGTTCAGGTACACTGGCAATTAATTTCTGATCCCAAGATTGCCTCCTTATAGAACCAGCTCTGTGTGTAGGTCTAGAGATTCTCTGCAGGTATCTGGCAGTTAAAGTGGAGGTTTGGAGATGTAGCAGTAATAGCATAAAATAATATGCCTTCAGTAGAGCACTTAGTATGTTTTTATGCATTTTTTCCTGATCTTGGCACATCTTCAGTATGTCTTTCTCAGTTACTGTTTTTTCAGCAATTCCATAATGATTTCCTCCTTTCAACAAGTTTAACTCTTTGTAACAGCAACTGCTCTGGAATTAAACAAGGTATTCTAACAGATGGTGAGTAGTTGCTTATCCTGTTCACATCTTACCATTTCTTTTCTTCCTAGTATGTAAGAAAACTTTTGGTCTTTGAAGACCTATTGCATATATATTTGATTTTTTTATATACAAAAGCAATTGAAAATAATAAATATATATGCAAATATTTCATACACATGTAAATAAAATTACATTTATGATACATCAGTGTTCTGCATTACTGCAAAACAGCCTCCAAGGCTTGCTGCTGCTTAGCATTGGTCAACACGATAGCATCAAAAAGACTTATGTAACTTTTTTCCAACAAATTATTAGGGAAGAGAAAAACGATGGATTTGATCTAATCCTTTCTAAAGATTGTGCCATTTTTTATCCATATGTCCTAGCCCTTTGCTCTGGAAAAATCCCACCCTATTTTTCAGTTCAACTACTTGTAGAGTCAAAGGTATTGCAATAGAAGAGTGACAAAATAAAGTAAAACATTAAAGAGAATTCCACTTTCATGTACTTTTTTTTTTATAATAAAACTTTCCTCACATGCTGTGTTGATGTCAGCTCTGGAGCTGTTACAGTTTGCTGCCTCAGTGAGCCATTAATAATGAAAGTCCAATCATTAACTTCAAATCAGGACATTATCAGAGTAAATCACCATTTTCAAAACCTAAAACTTGATCATGTCCCAAAGTTCCTTTATGTTTTCAATAATAACTTCATATTTCCCCTTTTTGGTCTTTCTGAATGAATGAAATTCCCCTTTTTTGACCTACAGGCAGATACAGAACTTTACATTTGTCTAGTCCAACAGAGCTGTTATGAAACTTCCTCTTTGTATTTATTCCACACAACTGCATCTGCAACTCTGTTTTTAGAAGGAATAAAGCTGTTAAAATTTGAGCTAAAAGACAGGTATATTAGCACTCTTACCTCTGGTAGCTCAGACAGCTCACTCAAGTATGACTACACAGCTTCATGTTCTTCATATGAATAACATGCTCACATCAGGATGGATGTTTTTAAAAATATTGTTGAAA